TCTGTTCAGCCATGCTGAGATTCTGAATAATTGTAGAAGGAAATCATATTTTGCATGTGACAGTGTATTTGCATTTGATTTTAGTTTTTTTTTAAAAAAAACCATGAGTATTTAAAAATTAATAACATTTTTTTCATTCCTATGTATTGCCTTTATCTACTGCTTAATAGATGAAATAATTAAATAGATTGTGTGATATAAGATTATCTTGAATTGTGATGTGTTTTGATAATTTCATTTCAATTTTTGTTTATTTTTCAGTGTTTTTCAAAGTGTTTTGTTTTCAATGTTGTTCAAGCTTAGTTCTGTTTGTAAACTGTGCTTGTGTCTAAGGCTGTAAGAGGAATAACCTGGATCTGGATCCTGTGCTTCAGCAATCATACTGGCGTAACCAAGTTATCTTGTCTAGATGGGGCCTATTCCAACCTAAACAACATAATGATTCTGTTCTCTTAGGGAAAGTAGAACTATATCTGTCGGCAAATGAATGCAAACCAAAGCAGAGGGGCAAACAGCACAGTAGCAAATTATTCCCTCTTTGGGAATTTATGGCATATATTCTAAAAGATGCAGTTTCTTGCAGACATTAAGTGCCAGTGTTCTCTTTACTACTTTTTTGTTATCCAATAATGTAATTTTGAAGTAATCTTTTGATCAAACTAGTACATACACAAAGTATGCACATTATATTTCCACCAGTAAACTTTCTGGGAGCTGTAATTTTTGGATGTATATATATAGCACAACATTCTCCAGGAAATGCACTCTTTGATTAGTGGAAAAAAAGCATATGGGTGATTAGATGCCTTTCTTCTTCATCATAGTTTAGGATATAGGGCCATGTTCTTGATTTCCTGAGGTTGCGTTCAGCAATTTTGACTGGGGGAAAGAAGCATTGGTAAATTGGATTTGGGAAGAGTGGGATTTGATAAGCTGGTCATTCTGGACCTGCTGTAAGTTAAAACAGTGGTTTCTAGGTTTGGTTTTGTTAATTTGTAGACAAGCTAACTCCTAGGGCTTTTAAATGAAAACACAGATTTTTTTTTTTATTTGTTTTTCCAAATAGAAGTCCACTGATAATGTACTTTCTTTTTTATCCTTCATAAAAAAAGGATTTCATGGGTCAAGCTTCAAAAAAACATTGTGTTAGCTCCTCTAGAGACCCTTTTACGACCAGCCCAGTTTAGGCTTATCTGTATGGCTACAATGCTTTGTGTTTCAGCAACATCTCTTCTTGTCCCCATTCAAGCCTCTGAACCAGAATCTCCCAGAAATGGGCAGAAGGGAATATTGAAAATTTGCTCTGCCCCAAGTGGCAGCTCTCCTTGATATTTATGAGAATTTTCAGACTTTGGGCAACTAAATCTATTTCCATTCCCTTTGCAAGGCCAGAAAGAGCACCAGGGAAGCATCTAGGAGTCTTCCTCATCAGTATAGATCTGGCTACACTTTATTCCATGACTGTGGCTTGTGTAGACACATATCTGACGTAAATTTACATAATCTATTTTTGTACTGCTGGCAGTATGGCTGTGGATCTTTATCACAGGCTGCAAAACCCTTCTGAGAACTGAGGAACCTTTTGGGTGACTTGCCCAGGCTGACCTCCTCTTTGTGATATTTATATCAAAACAACCCTAAGGTCAGATCAAAGACCTATCTAGCACACTATTCTCTCTCTGACAGCAACCAGGAGGAAAAAGTACAAGAACAAGATAAGCACATGCAGTTACTTTTCCACATTGCTCAATCACCTTCAGCAATTTCTTTCTTAGAGGCTTCCTAAGCTAGAGGTGCTTTTAGTACATCCCTATCATGAATTTCTCTAGTCTCCTATTCAACTCATGTCAAGTTCTGGCATCCAGCACATCCCATGTTGATGAGTGTGCAGTTTCCCTAGGTACTGTAAGGAAAATTACTTCATCTTACTGATTTGGCATTGTGTTTCCTATAATTTAATTTGATGTTCCCTGCTCTTGCATGAGAAACATAGGAGAGTGAAGAATTCTTTCTTAGTTACACTGCTTAGTCATGATTCTGAGCTTGTTAAAAACACCTTTCAACCACCTGTCATCTTTCTTTGATGCTGAAAAGTTTTAGCCTATTTACTAATTCCTGGTATGGAAATTGTTCCATTCCTTGTTGCCATTTTATGTTCCTTTAGTTCCCTTGTTATCTGAGTGGCTCAGGTATCTTGAGGACCTATGTAAATTAAAATTGTATTTTTGTAGTCCATGCTAAGCTCATACTTCTGCAGCTGATGCTTCTGCAGCTGATGCTGTTGTTAAATACTTAAGTTAAATAGTTTACAACCGATTTGGGAATTTAGATTTTAGTTTCTGTCTCATGGTGGCCTTTCAGCAGGTAAAACTGGGAGTCAATAAGCAATACTTCCAGACCCACTAATAAGGGGAAAGTCAAGCGTGAACAACTGGTTTGACTGAAGAAAAAGAGGAAGGATTGAGAGAGGAAAACTATTTTATTTTGTCAGAATATGTGTTTTTGTGTGTGTGTGTTTGTACACAAATGAAGGTGTTGTTAAAGTAATGTGGGAGTGGAAAATGTCTTTGTCGAATAGCTTCGAAAGGCGATGATTATTTTGCAGCAGATGACTGCTGAATGAGTGTCCTGGCTCAACTCATGCCATTTTAATGATAATGTTTTCCTCCTTAGTCTTGAACTATCAGATGCTAAAAGTTTGACCCTAACAGTGCTAATCAAAGCAGATTGTGCTTTTCTCTGTAATTCCACTTCGGGTTTCTGAACTAATTATATTGTCTGAATATAATAAAACAGAGCAAAAAAAAAATGGTCAACTCAATTTCCATTGCCTCAGTGTGCTACCAAGAGCAGCTTGCTGATTATAGCAGGGGGAAATGTTTACTGCTGATCAACTTAGTTTATATGGGGAGCTCTTGTATTAAAATGAATTATAAAATCTAGATATAGAAGCATCATAATTTGACGAGCCAAAAGAGGAAAATCCTTTAAAGCTTTTTATCATCGCCATGCTGTTGTTTATGTCATTCACAATTTAGAACTAAACCAAAGTTCCACAGACTTCTCTGTCTTTGTTAATCAGAATTTTGATCCATTTTCTTTGGAAACTTCATTGCATACAGCAATTTCATTTTATGAGACTGTTGAATGTCCCCATAAGCCAGCATTTTTCAAACTATAATTCAATGGTGGCTGTATAGAAATGCCAGAAAACTGATCAGAATCAATGATCTCTTGTAAAATGTTGCCTCAGGTTAGCTGTCAACTAAATTGAATACCCTTGTCAACTATATCAATCTTTGTAACAACTTTTTTTATCGTCACATGTGTTTTTTCAGGGATGATGTTATGCATTTAAAACATGTAATTAAAGATCTATTTATGTCTTAGTAAATCATTGCAAAGCAAATCTGCCAGACACTGCTTTGGATTCCACCTTATTCTGGATCTCTTTGATGTAACAACACTGTTCATCTGTCAGGCTACATTGTCCAGTAGATATTTTGTACCCTGCAGCTTGGACCCAATACAATTTGATTCGTGTAGCATCCTTCAGGAACCAACAGACAGGACACTGTGTCAGGAATGCTCCTTCTTAATCAATTTCAAGCAGTTCAGTGGTTGCATTTGACTGCAATAAAAAATAAACAAAAAAAAACCAACCAAAGGTTAAAAAACCCTACACTAATTTATTTGTAATGGGGCTTTTCATACAGTGCAAGTTTTTATGCAAAAACTGCCATTGTCGTACCTGAAGTGTAGCAACTACTGTTTTATTCTACACAAAAAATTAGGATTGATGCCTGAAATTTTTGGAAAAGATATTTTGAACTCATGTGAAATTCTTAATAGAATAAAATCTGCAGTATAGTCTTTTTCATCGTGGAAACTTGCAGTGCTCTGAAATAAATGAAGACTTTATTGCTTTATAAGAACAGAGGTTCTGATCCGACACGATAAAAGTTAAAGCACTTACACTGCTATATATTTTTTATAGCTGAGGAACATGTAGCGTTTTGTGTGAAATATTTTGCTGGGAGCCACTCAGACACTGGTTAAGCTGGACATATATAGCAGAATAGTTCTTTCTATCTTTTATTACCTTTTGATCGATAATCTGTAGCTTTTTCTTTTTATATATAGGAATAGGGCACAATCATATAGCGTGCTGTGATACATCCTTCTGCTTTGATCATGTGAAAATGTGCCTCACACAGGTCAGACCAAATTAACCCAGCTGCTGCCCTGAATCACAAGTTGTACACAGAAAAGACATGGGAGAGGAGGGTTTTGGCACAAGGGATTCTTACAGAGGGTACTCACTAGAAACCAAATAATTGGAGTAAAGGATTTGGCAATGAGTAATCACAAAGCTGGAGAATGAAAAAAATGAAGTCATCCCAGAGTGACAGATGTGGGAGTGTTGAGAAAGAGAAGTTCATTTCCTAAAGTATTCTGAGAGATTGCATGGCCATAAAGACAAAGAAAATTTGTTAACTTTTCCACCTCCCTAAATATCCCTATACTTGCCTTTGCCTATCTGTAAAACATAGTTGCAGTCACATTGATGAAATCTGAATTTGAATGTGCAGTTTTGTTAACAGATATGAAAAATAGAACTACATACCCATTTTTCTCATTAGAAAAGATTTTTTTGTTTGTTTTCTTCTGTATATGTGATCGGTAATCATAACTTTGTGCTGACGACTCAAAGCAGTATAGCAATTAAAACATAGTTAATATAAATTCTGGTGTATTGGACAGTGAAATATCTCGTAGTAACTAAAATGTAGGCATAACACTTTTTTTGTTTCACTTATTAATTTAACATTTTTTCATTGAAATTCTACTATTCAATAGTGTAATGCTAAAATCACAATAATGCAGTAGGCATACATGATGTCATTTGACATAATCATAGGAAAATCAATAAAACTAAATGTTCTTCCTGTCCTCACAGTGTAGACAAATGAACTTATGTTTTTGTGTCTCATTCTCAGGTTTGGAGACGGTTATTCAGTCAAGGTTTGGCTTAGTAAAGAAACAAGCTATCGAAGAATTATTTTGGACTGCCTACAACTGCACTTTCCTGGAACACAGTTTAAGGTACAGCTAAAACTCCCTGTTGCAGTATATGGCAGGATTAAGTTTGGGCTGGTAAGAACAGTATATCCATGTTTGGATATTTACATGATTGGTTATATTGATCTTCCTGGAAAAAGTACATATGAATATCCCTTTTATTTTTCTTTTAAGCATTTCACAAAAATCTGAGTTGTGATACTGGTTAAATCAACTCCAAACAGGCATTTAGGCAATGTAAAAAAAAAAGGCCCTTTCTCTGAGTGAAAATTTCCTTTTGCTTTTATTATTGATGAAGTTGAACTCACATTTGTGTTCTCCTGTAGGAGAACACTGTAGGATTACAGTGTAGTTACTGAGAGTATTTGCAGTGATTGCTTTCTGAAATGGTCCAGAAATGATAAGTCTCAGCCTTTATTGAGATTCTTTGATTTAATACAAAGCCTTACAAAAGATCTATAGCAACTACATTTCAAGAAAAACTCTGAAAGGCCATTAATTCTTATTTTTTATTTTAAACTTTAACTGTGTTTAGGACAAGAATCATGGAAAACAACAACTATCTTAGATATGAACCTGTTTGTGTATATGTTTATAAATCTGTACTGTGCTCAGCCAGCTCTGTTCTCAGCCTTTTCCCAGACTGCATTGTAACAGCAGTAGTCTGTTGGATGAAAAACCTATAGCTTAAAATTGTCCTAAATTTTTATATCTTTTATGAGATTAACAAAGTGTCGTCTCAGAACACGCACAAAATTTGTGCTTTGAGTATGAGCAGTTCTTTGTGCTACCAATGCATATGTTCTTTTTAAAAAGATCATATTTTCTCTGTTAATCTACAATAAGAGCCCATTGTAGCTAGACCAATTATAAACAATGATGTGCATTCACTTTTATCTGTTTTTATAATTTTTACTTGTTTTCAGGGACAACATCTCAATCTGCTTGAGTACCACGTACCACGAAGTCAGGGATGTTTAGCAGAGCTCTTCAGAGTCCTAGAGAATCACAAAGGTTTTCTCCAAATCAAACACTATTCCATTAGCCAAACCACATTAGAGCAGGTATTTTATTATTTTTATTTCTTTTCTTTCCATGCCCCCCTCCCCACCTCCCTTTTTATTTTTTTGGTCTAAACATGCTGCATACAGCAGTTATTGATGTAGTAAAATAATCTGTTATTTGCTAGGATACCCAAATATATGCAATAAGCCAGTACTTCCAAGCCATCTCAGGTCACACAGTGATTTCTGCTTTTATATTTCTTTTGCACTGGAGGTGAGCACAGTAATAGCATCACAGTAAGTCACATGTAGTGTGCACAAACATAATCTGTGCTTAGATACATTTAGATGTGTGGCATGAAAAAGCGGGACTGTGAACTGCCACCTCCACAACCCAAGAGTTGGGATCTTACCAGTGTCCTCGAAAAGGCTGAACCAATCTCTGTAAATCGTGGTATACCTTAAATTTTCAGTACATTTTCCTTTGAGGCTTTTAAGTGCATAAGCAGACAGAAGAGATTCCACACTAAAAACTGTGAAACCCCATTTTGATAAAGAGAAGAACACATTGATGGCAAGGATGGGTTTTCTGGGTGATCCTGATGTGTTACAGCATCTTCACATACAACTTCTTGGTATGCATGCTACATGAGAGTCACATATAGTCAAAATACTGGTTTTCTATGATAGGTGGTGTGAACTTGTTCCTTTTTCCCATGCACAAATCATTATTGAAGTACTTTATTGAAGAACTTATCTGTACTGATCTACTAACTGCTTGTAAATTATCTATTCACTGAATGGACGCATATACTGGCAATTACAGCCTGTTGATTGTTCAGGCATTGTTCACTCAAGCTTACTTCCTCCATTATTCATGATGATGCATCACCTCAGTCACCCACCCTTGCTTTCTCTCCAGGACTAACTGAGTATCAGTTTTAAACAGGAAAATAGTCCTCCCCTGTAACAAACATGCACCCTGAGTTTGTTTGCATATGAATAGGATCATTTGAATAAAAAATAACCCTTTCCCTCTACATTCCTTGCTGTCAAATAATTGTGTGATTAAAAAGGAAACAAACCTTTCTGTAGTAAGATCTGTTTTAAAAAAAACCAAAACGAACAACCACTCAAGGAGACACATTAGTTGTTCAATCATCACTGCAATTTTCAGAAGTGTGTTTTCACCTTGAAATATTTAGACCCTTATCTGTGATGGTTATTGACAGAAACAACAGATTTGGTTTCTTTAGCTATGTCATTTCAAAGGCAGTTAAAACCATTGTTTCACACTAACTTGTGCAGCAATAAAAAATAATTTTCATATCTCAATAACACATTTTACCACTATTTTTATAATTTATCAATCCTTATCTTAGCTGGAGAGGTGAAGAGGGATTATTTCTAGTTTACAAAACATATCTCTAGATGGGTTCCCTCAACATAAGCAATTAATTAATAAGCAAAAGCTTAGGAAAGCAACTGAAAAATATCATCACCTATGTCCCCAAAGATTAAATTCGAGTACTATTATTTTGAAAATCCTACTTTTTCTCATGTCTTACAGGTATTCATTAATTTTGCTACACAGCAGCAAGGAGTCTCACATTCTTCACCAGGATCTCCTGTTGAGCATCATGACCACCTTGCACTCTAGGCTCAGAAAAGGATAAAGCTTCAGCAGCACATATATGTGTGTGTATGTTTGCGTGTACATATACACACAAGTTACATGCAATAATTTTTCAACTGTGAACAATTTGTGTATGAGAAACAAATAATAGAAGCAGAGGTGAATTTGCATTTGAAGGCCAGAAGGAATGGTACCAGTTCTTGGTTAAACAAGAAACTGGTTATATGCAGACCAAAAATCTGCCAAAAGGTAAAAATTAACTGGAATTTTAAAATATAAATGGCCTAATTAATGCAGAGGAAAAAAATCATCTGAAATGTCAGTGCATAGTAGATTTTTTTTGTGGTGACTGCATTGATTTGGGTACAGTACTCTCTCGCATGTACATTTAATATCTAATTTTTACATGACAAGTCAAGAAAAAACCATTGAATGATAGCAGTAGCTAGGCTGTCACCCAATATTTGTATTTAATAACACAAATCGAGAGCCTTTTGGCTTCCCTATTAATTCAGCTAAATTAGCCTTTTTATTGTATAAAGGATGCACTGTATTCCATAAGGCTTTATGTTAAAGAGGTTATTAGTGTACTAGTCTGCCTCCCAGTTATCTTAAGTATATTTAACAAGTTTCTATAGATCATACTTGACAATGAGTTTTCCCTTATGCCTGTGGGTTGCTGCTGGAAGTATTCTCAAGTATATTTTAATGACCTATTTTTTTTCTCATTTTTTTTTCCAAAAAAATGTCAAAAAGAGAAGAATGTTTAATGGGAATGTTAAAGGAAATAAGACAAATATTCAGACATTGATCAATAAATTTCTCAATAAATATATTATGATGCTGGATACTTCAGACAAGGGCACAGCCTTCAACGTATACTTGTGTAAAAGTGAACACTTAATGCATAAAACTCCTTGCATGTTGTGCTATAAGAAAAAAATATAAAATTTTTTTTGTAGTAAATGACTGCCTCATCCAAAACAAGCCTTTAAGTCTCCTGTGAAGTTAGCTGGTGCCACTTTTATTGGACTATGCTGTCAAAGAGTCAGTGACTTAGAAGTTAATTGCTACAATACGATTTTCGGTGGGCAGGGGAGAAGAAAGTGTACTTGGAGATGGAAGAATTTGATTTTAAATGGCCAGTTTTGCAGTGCTGCTTCTATAATTCCCTGCTGTACAATGATGAAATATTAAAAAACACATATTAGTGTTTTAGGCTTTGCAAGCTCACTCAGATGACTGTTTATTGAGGCTTGATTTGTTGCTGTGGTTTTGGCCCATTATGCTTTTTAAAGTCAGAAATTCATTTTGCCTATTTCTATAAAGATGAAATTAAATCCTTGAAAAATAAATAAAAACCTGAAGATTTACAGGCTTTGTCTGCATGTACATATGGGTCAGAGTTAGTGAGCATATGAAACTGCTTTATCATTAGAATGGCTTGGTATACATAGTCTGCTGCATAACATCAGAACTCTGCCAGGCTCCTCAAGATCCAAAGCACCTAAGAACCATTAAGCCCCAACAGCCACCATCCTGGTAGAAATACCAGCACAATGGGATGACCACGTTTGATGTGGAAACAGTTATCTTTAATTTCTGCATGAGGCTGGGAGTGGAAAGTTTCTAAGGTCCTCTATTAGAACAAAAAAAGGGCCAACATTACAAAGCAGAGTGTAAGAGAAGTAGTGGAGGTGAAAGAAAAAAGAAAGCACATGCAGGAAACTTGGGCAGAAACAGGAGTACATCAGCATAGAAGTATCCTGCTTAATGTCAGCATCTCAGGGTGGGAGAAACTGTGTATACAAGGAACAGCCAAGGATCTCTGATTCCTAGTCTGAAACCACTCCACAGGAGAATATTTCTGCAGCTCTTGCTTAGTTGGGAAAAAAAAAAAAAGGGGGGGAAGGTGTGGTAAGAACATGTGCATATGGGTTTGGGCTTTTTTTCCTTTATTTTTGTTGATATGTCTAGGTCTGTAGATTGATGATATTATGATTGACTGTCTTTGGGTTTTATAAATTAATATGTCAACCATCACAAGTCCTTAAAAAAATAATGAAATATACACAAGAAGTTTGGGGGTTTGGGAAAGGAGATGGTGCCAGTTCTTGATATGTAAGGCAGCTGAGCCAAAAGGTCTCATTTGTGTGAAATTCTGAAGAGTGCCTATTCCTGCTGAGAAAGTGTACCAGGGAGTTGAATTAATAAAACAGTCCTGCAGTTTGCTTAGACCAAGGGAAGCATAAAAGCATACAAGACTCATGGTGGTGAGGCTGAAAAATGGTAGCCTAGCTGAATGCTCAGATAGGGGAGCTTTTTTAAGACTTGACTGTGTAACACTAATTAAATGTCATTTTTTTCTGATTAAAATATGAAAGATTATATTAGTTTAATAGATTAATACAGTAAATAAGGTTTGCTTCAGAGTGATGGTTGAGTAGATTCAGTTAACAGTGTTTTTCTTTTTTTAAATTACTTCATATGCATCTCAGGAGACCCAATTTCATTCAGGCAAGTAGCAAACAGTGTCTGTCTACCAATCCTTAATGAGTGAAGAAGGTCAAAATCTAATTGAGTGCCAGTGTACTAGGTTCTGTCTCAGAGGATATTTTCCCTTTCCTTGACTTGCAACATTCCTGTAAGTATGCAAATTTCAACAAAAGTATTTTGAAGATTTCTTTTATTTATTTATCAAAATAAATTACTAAACTAGGAGTCTGGATTGGAATGATCATTTATATGTTAATGATGCAAGAATCCTTGAATTCATAAGTCACACAGAAATATCTCTTAACATCTCTGGATTTGGCATGAAACACAACTGAGGACTCTAACCAATAACTTCTCTTGTGAGATTTTTGTTAGGAAAGTTTAATTTTGTTTCAACTGGAAATTTCTCTGGCTATGAAAGTGTGCCCTTCACCCTGCATGATAAACTAGATTTAAGCTCAAAATTACAACATCAACTGAATATCTGAAATTCTAAACACCCAAACTGGGGAGATTATATTCATATTTTTAAGGGATTATTCCATGGTCTAAGGTAAAAGAAGAGCTTATGCTAAACTTTCAGAAGATTGTCTCAGGCCCTATTTTAAATTTCATACAGTTACAGAATGATGTGAACAAAAATAAACTGTAGGTCTGAACCTTAAATCAAAACATCACAAATTCAGGTGAAGGTGATGGGGTAATTGTAGTAGTGGACAGGATGGCAAACCTCATGAATTGTCATTTTGAATCTGTCTGCATATTAAATTTCTGTACAGAATTTTCTCCTGGAAAGAAAGAGCTTATTTCTCTGGTTTGGTTTAGCCATGAAGGGTAGTGGAAGATGTATAATGGGATTTCCAGCAGAGGAACTGGGTACCTTTTGAGCTTGCTTGTCCTTGTGAAATCTGAACCACTGGGTCTGAAATCTCATAAATTAGGGAGTTGAATTTGACTCTTACTGGAACTGTTGAACTCTTAGATCTGTCTAAATCCAATTTAGGTAAGAATATTGCTTTCCTGGCCTTTTTCTAGGAAGTAGTAAAGCTGACACTGCTTTGATTCAGTTTAATATGATCTAATCTTTTTATGTCAGCACTTTCAATTTTTCTTTTTCAAGAATAGGCAGATCAAAGCTAGATCTCACTTGAAGTGATTGAGAGCTGACTAGCTCAGACAGCGTTCCTGAGACCCACAACAGCTAAAGAGAAAATGCTTCCCTGAGTTGTGTATTAGATACTTACATTACTAATAAAACCGATGCTGTGGCAAGTGCAATGGAGGTGGGCAGCAGGTAATGCAGAAATCACAGTTGTCTCATTCTTGCAAAGAAAACAGCAGTCTGCTGCTATCAACAGGCCAGGTACTGCTGAATGTTTTAACAGATGTATTCTTCATGCTGAATAATTATATGGATCACTGAAAGAAATCAAAGCATCTTTCTTCTTTATTAAATTTTTGTATCACAATGAATATTGTTCCAGCAGTGCTCTCACACCTATTACTATATGAAACTATGTGTGGGGATAAATTCTGACTCCTTTCACAATGACCCTGTAAAAGTCATGATCAGAGACTTTGCACTGTAGAGGTGTACGCACATCTTTAGCTTAGGCAGACCAAAGCACCAAGATTCATATTGGCTTTCCCACGAAGTACAAATAGAGAAAAAGGAAATATAAGCTATATAAGCAAAAGTCAATAGGTGAGATTTCCATGTGCTACTAATTTATTCCAGCTGTAGAACACCATACATACATTATTTTGCTGCCTGTGTATGCCATGGGCAATTGAAAGAAGTGCCTCGGGATTCAGCTGGTTGTGAGGCAGGAAAAGCCAGGATCTTCTAATGTGCAGCAGTATAAGGTAAGATCAAACAGGAGTCCTTCCACCCTCATATTGAGGCAATAAATGCTAGTTAATAATTAAGTGTAATGCATTTAATTCAAGAAAGGATCAAAATCACTTTTTTCTTTATCTTGTACTGACACAGAAATTGCAAACTTTATTCCATATATCATTTTGACACCATTCTTATTTCCTGATCTACATACCTCACTATATGTAATAACTAGACCTCCCAAAAAAACCAGTGTTTCTCTCAGACTAAAACATTTGGGGAATGTGATTTAGCTTCTAAAAATTATGAAAGCTCGTGTTGTTGGTTTGGTTTTTTTCTTTAATTTTATTCAGAGCTAATTCTTAAGGCTAAAATTATAGCTGAGATCTTGAGTGAAGGAGCATGTGACATTTATGCTGAATCAAATGGAATATGCATGTAGTGACCTAGCTGAGGAGTTGTAGTCATCTAATACTTTGTAGCTAATGATAATTGTCTAATCATAAGAACCTGAAATTATTTTCTTAGAATTTTGTTATTATGAATAATTCTGTTAGCAATGTGTGAATACAAAATAGGTGGAATCTAGCTAAGAGAGTATTCTCAGTATGTGAAAGGTAAGAATAAAGGTCATACACAGCATGTTGGAGTGTTGTCTTTCTGGGGTTTATTTTCCCTAAGTTAACTAAGTCATTAGAAGTGGCACTTCTAATTGTCAGTGGCCAACTAGTCACTGAAAATTCTTAGTGATGGCCCAGAGCTGAGACTATTTACATGCTGGTCACTTAGTAATCTCTTTTTACCTAACTTCATGTTTAAGATGAACTAGTAGAAAAGGTTAATGCATAAAATTGTATTTTGAAGTCATTGCAAGTTGTGCAATTAAAAATAGGTTTTCTAGATGTCTAGCAACTGAGTAACATAGAAGCATTTAAGTATTTCCATATATAAAATTTTGCTTTAAATAAATTTTGAAAACAGTATTTGCAGAAATGTGATAGAAATTTAAGAGTTACTGTGTGCATACAGTATATGGACTTATATCTTAAACCTAAGTGCAAATAAAGATGTCTGTAAGTACATGTTTCTAATTATGAAATGGATAGATTTAGCTTGA